AAATAGAAAACCCCAACATTATTTATTTAGAAATGGGCACAGAATTTTCTGCCTTATTTTTCAAGGTGAATATTTTGGTCAAAGTCTAAGTATATGGTTGCAGATTTTACTTAGCTTGTGTTTTCCGGGGCCTGTGTGCTGAGCTACTCAGGAACTGCTGTCTGTGGGACTGAACACTTAACAGCTGCTTCTGGGAATTTGCTTCTCTGGACTGCTCATGAGGGTGGGACATTGTCCTCTTCAGAGACTGAGGATTTGGATGACATTATGCTACTGATTAAATAGTGATCCAAGTAAGTTCATTGTCAACTTAGACATCTAATTTGCATGTATTTTTTCCTGAAATACATATTTATTTAACAGTGTTCATAATTTCATTATAATTTAACTAACCTTTCAATATATTTAAGATATGCTGTTTAAAATAGGCCCTATCTGAACCCCTTGTTGATGAGCTATTTCTGGATTGTCACATTGGAGGGTGTATGTATATGTGTTTGTGAGAATTATGGCTGCGAAGAACAAAGCAGCTTAAATATAATCGATATTGTTAATCAAAATATTTATTAAATTAGCTTTTATCCTACCTTTTCACTGATACAACAAAGATAAAAGTTCAGTTAGAAGAGAATCGTCTTTTTAAATAAACCTGAAATCTGTTATCTTTTTAAGTGAAAAGCATAAATCATAATGAGGTTACACAAGGCCATTTCTTCTTTATCCTAATTATATGGTCTGATGTTTGAAAAAAATCACAATACACCTAAAAAAGGTTATTACTTACTATTAACCTAAAAGAAATGTGTCAGTATAAGTATCCTGGAAAAAGAGCAATGCTTGAGGAAAAAGAGTGCTTTGAATTCCTTTCCAGTTGTACTGCAGTGCTAGCAAATGAAAGAGTTCAACACATGTCCCCAGAAGGGACACCACAAGCAATGCAATGAGGTCTGGTTTAAGTCTGACCTAATGAACTAAATATATTTCTGGACTGTTATTGTTAGCTTGCTGTATTTCAAGGTTGACTTAAAGGCATTTATTCAGCTGGTCTGTCTGATAGATGGCAGTTTAATCTTCTCAGTATTTTGATTTTGCCTGTATGAGTCTGGGAACTTCTTTATAAGAATGGATTTTTAATATTGAGTAATATTGAGGGTCTTTTCCCCCCCAAAGTTCAAGGCCTCCTATTTTGATTAGATTTTAAAATAATTAGTTTCTTTGAAATCAATGTTATCCTAAATAGTAATTATATTTAAATGTTATATAATAATTGTCTTTTTATCTGAAGAAATCTAAGAGAAATGTAATTTCTTTGGTTTTCATAGAAGAATTTTGCTGTTCATGAAACTTCTATAAAACTAACAAAATCATAAATAATGAAGACCTTCCAGTTAGAACAATAGGTTATTTCCCTCTTTAAAGTCTATTTGTCATCTTTGTTGATTGACAGAAGCTCCAATTGTTTTTGCAGTTGTTAGGCTCAACACATTTTAATGCTGAACAGAAAGTGTATTTTATTCAAACTTTGTGAGATGAGTTTTGCAATCTGAATTATGCAGGAAAGTGAGACTCTGATCATTCTCTTATCTGCACTTTCCACCCCAGAACCCAGTTTATCACCTGGAATGACTGTATAGTAAAACAGAGTGTATTAGAGGCCACTCAGCACATCAGTTCCTTTTGTTTCTCTGGCCTCTGATGGACTTGGATGGAAAAATGTCCCCCTCCCCCCCCAATAGAGTGCTGTTGAGGATCTCAGATACGGGTGATAGGTCCTCACTACCACATACAAACAGACCCTTAAGAGCTAAGTCATAGTGAGATGTGTGTGGGTTTCTTATCTTTTTTTTTTTTTTAAATTCCTCTGTGGAGTAAACCACTCTCTGGGATGTTGTCTCTCGCTCTTTTTTTTTTTTTTTTTTTAAAGTCGTATTTAAACTCACACACTTTCTGTAATGAGGATTTCAGTGTAGGGTTTTTCTGCAGAATACCTTTTGGTCCTACTAAGAACTGTCTCTTCAAATGTTGGAGCATTTGACTGAAAAATCCTTAGCCTTTTTAAAGGTAAGTCATGATGATTTTTTAAAAATAGATTTCTATCTCCTAAATTATAGATGACACTACTATAAACACTCTTAAGATGTTACAGAACAAGAAGCAGGAACTGTTTTCTTAAAGTCATTAGGCTTTATTTAAAAATTAGATTTGTGTTGTTCTCCAGGTTATCAAGCTTCCTACCCTTTATGTTTCAATACTAAAACCTTGTCCAATAGTGGCATTTTGCTCCTTAATGTTTAAAATCTTACGTTTATATATGTGTTTATTAATATTTGAAATGATCTACAATCCAATTTGATTACTGTAGAACTTTTATTGTCTACTTAGGTTATTTATACATGATTTTTAATTTAAATTATGAAAGGAAATCAAAATAAATATAGTGGGATTAGTTCTTATAAATGACTTGCCACTTTTATGCCAGCATACTTTATAATATGCAGTTATTAAATGACTATTTTAGAGAGCATTATTTTTTGTTTAATATTCTAGGTGAACTGCACAATTATAGGTGAACCTGACTTTGTATGGTTAAATGCAATGTGTATTTTGCATATGTTCTTATTAAGCATTTTGTCTAAATGTTCTGTAATCACCACTGGGAATGGTAAATTACATTAACTCCTAATAATAATTCTGAATTACATAAATTTGTATAAATTATATAAAATTTGGAAGCAGAATAAAAATAAATTAATGGTTTGGGATGTTTCAGAAGTTTATTACAAATACCAGAAAATTTTTTTCTTGACTGATGATACCAAATTTAAATAAAGGAAAGGACAAATCATTCTGGAGAAACTAAAGAAGTTTTAATTTAATTACAGTAAATGAATCCATACATAACTGTAGAATTATTAAGTAACATACTGAAAAATGTTTTTAAACTCTTTGCATGTACTTTTTAGTCCTTTACTATATAGTTTTAAATTAGTAAAATGATACTGCCTTTAATATTGGTTCAAAACATAATCAAAAAATATATTTTATTTTATTATGTAGAGTCCAGTGGTCTACTTGGATTTTATGACAGAAAAAAATACAGAATTTTTTTCATTTATCAGAATCATTATTAGACCAGAACACTAAATCAAATAGACAATCCTAGAGAGCAGGTTAACCTGGGAGGACTCTCATAATTATAACTATAATTAGAGAGGTACTTGGACAGAGTGTACTGAAAATCCTGGAATTTACCTTGGAAGTTATAGTTGCTACACTTTTTTTTAATGTTGGCAAAAAATGTGGATGTTTTGTTCCCAAAGGAACTGATTCTGTAATTATTTTCTGATTTATTCAAAAGGTGTTATAATTCACTGACCTAAGTAATTACTGAAAGTTTAAAGGAACACTATTTAAAGCTAGAAGCTGCCTCTTCATTTGCGTGATCTTCCAAATTCCATATACAGAAGAATAAATCATCTTACCAGATTTTATTGTAATCTGTTTTGCAAATAATCATTCCTATTTGTGTAAACTACATACACTTACTAGATTTTCAAATAATACTTGGCCAACTAGCAGTAACATTTTACTGTTATGGTTGTTCAAAAATATTTCATACTAACATTTCAAATAATACAACATGTGCTATGACAGGAATTTTTATTAATATCTAATTTTGTTTGACATTTATAGCCATATATGATGTATTTATTACACTCATTTGAGAGAATACTAAGTCACAGAGAAACTGTAATATTAGAGCCAGAATTTAACCTAAATTGAATTCAAGCCCAGAATCGTAACTGTTGCACATCTTAACACTATTTTAGTTTATAGTTAAGCTTGTGATGGGAAATAAAGATAACAGAATTTTTATCTAGGACTAAAAAAATTAAGAATGGCTCTAAATAGGCCTATTTCAACCAATATGACTAAGAGAATCATCTCAAACCTACAGTAATCTCTAAAATCAGGTACTCAAAAAAATTAGTTTGTTTCTAGAATATTTACTGTAATATGTGAAGTCAGTGTGTTTATTGTTTTAATTTTTTAAGACCACCAGCAAAACAAATTTTAAATTACAGCATTTGAAAGACAGAATTTGGTAAAGTGTATTACTGTTTTCTATTATAGGTATCTATAATTTTTCCTATTATATGTTTTTACCTCCATATATTGATCGGATGGAAATGTCCATATAAATTTATAAGATTATGGTAACTTCAAAAAAAAAAAGGTCTTGGAGAACTCCTAATCTAATTATTTAAACATTTTCCATAGAGCCTTTGGATTATGTAGAGATAACACACAGCCCAAATGAGATGTGACTGGAAGGGGAAAGGGCCACAGTTCCTGCCCCTTTTGACCAGAATTAGCTATTTCTTTTGTTTTTGTATATTGGAATGGCATGTAAAGTAAGTACTAATCTAATGACCTTCTGTCTCCATATGTTGAAACACAACCAGATATAAATTACTGATCTGACTAACATGGATTTGAATTTGCATCTTACTCATGTCTACAAAATCATGACTCTGTAAACACACCTAGAGATGGTGTAAGGTAAGAGTGGAAAGGAACTTAATTTGGAAAGCTAATTTTCATAATTCATATTCAACCTGTTGTTGAATTAATTACCCTCAAAACTCCAAAACCGGGTTTTGTGGGCAGATGCTGAATTTATTAGGTGAGGAAAACTGTGTATCAAAAGAATAGCAGTGTGCGTGGTGGAAAACAGAGGGGTGTGGTCTGGTTTCCTCTTCCAAGGAAAGTGGAAGGAAGGCTGATGGATAGAAGAGGAAATCTGAGACTCATGAGTTAGAAAACGTCATGCAGGCTCTGACATTTATTTATGGTACAAGAATGTAATCCTGTCACCTGAAACTGTTGTAAAGTTTTGTACTTCACATCTTAGAAAATTTTACTTCTGGGCTATGCGTTTTCCGGGTGGAGTTTCCCAGGGAACAAAGCTTCATCCACACATGGGAATAATTACAGATTCTCTGGGAACTTTCTCTGATTTTCTGACGTACTTATTGGAGATGCGTCTTGTAGCTCAGTCTCAGTTCCTACCCCCAGGTTTCCAAGAGAGTGGAAAGGCATAATGCTCATAAGTTCATTCTAGAAACACTCTGTTGATTTGACAGCAAAAAGAGAAACAGAAAAATTCTATTTCTTCTTTCAAAGATAGCCCACATGTAGATATGCTCATGAATTCTACAGAAGGTGAATTCTACAGAAGGAATAGGATTTAAGATCTATAAACTGACAGGATACAGCTGATCTCCCTGTAGATTCAAGAAAGGTATGTGATTATTGATGTCTTAACACGTACTTTTTTATTGTCTCTTCTTGATATGTCGCAATAATTAGCTTTCGTTCCTATACCTGTGATTATTCCTTCTTTTCTAAATTTAAGTACTTTAAGCAAGCAGTAAATTATTAGAGAAATCAGTCTTGTCTATTTCTTATGAAGCAGAAATAACAGTGAAATTTTATCTAAAATTAGCAAGAAAAACAAATTTTATTATGTAAGGAGCTTCATTTTTAAGCAAACCAAGTGTGCTTGACAAAGTTTTATACGCTCTTTATAGCTAAATCTGAGAAGAGTGGAGACAAACTACACTTGTTTCTGAAGATAAGTGTAAGCGGAGAAGCTCTTGAGTAGAATGTGCTAAGGAATCTGAACTTTACTTGGATGCACTCAGTGCATGTCCTACATGATATGTTTGCCCCTCCTTTTCTTCAGGGGAATAAAGCTACAGTTGACACTTGAACAAAACAGGTTTGAACTTTGTGAGTTCACTTTTACAAAAGAAAGTTTTCAATACAGCACTGCCTGATCCACAGTGCGTAGTCAGCTGACTCTACAGACACAGAACCACAGATGAGGAGGGCTGACTGTACAGTTACAGGTGGATTTTCCACTATGCAAGGGTCATTGCCCACAACCCCTCTGTGGTGTTTAAGGGTCAATTATATTTGTAATTTTGTAGTATGAAGCAAAGTTAAAATATGATTATGATAGCAATACTTAATTCCTCATGGTGACAAGGCGCTGAAGCAGAATGAAGGAACCCAAGTACAGCAAGTCCCCCATATCCACAGGTGTTGGGGGATGCCTTCCACGACCCTCAGCAGATGCCAGATGTCTAAAACCACAAATAGCACCAAACGCTATCTTCCCCCCATACATCCATGATTGTGCTTTCTAAGGACTCAGTGACCTACAGTTGACCACTTTTGACCTTAGTTAAGTAAAATCACAGAAAGCAAAGCCGCTGATAAAAGAGGACTACACTGATGTGAAATATTGTGCCTATTCTTAGAGGGGAAAAAAGTGGAGACCTCCATCAAGATAACAAAAGTGAGTCCGTGAGGTGAAAATTTGGGAAAGTAGATAAACTTGATTTCTCCTCAGAAACATCAGTGCATGTATGAAGTCGTTTGAGTAATTGTATCCTTGCTATACATCATCCAGACCAGTATTACACTAGTAACTGTCTAACCACCTAATTCAACAAAATAAATTATTGACACTTCTGTTTTCTGGTGAAACTGACTCAATAGCAGTGGGCTGTGTGCACTCTCTCACTTCAGCTTTAAGTTTATAGCAGACAGAGTCTAGGCAGCAGCCAGATCTGCCCATGACTACATCTTACGGTGAAGTGTCCCTAGCAGTCATAATGAGTTTCCAGGTTTAGAGAGGGAGGCACTGGAGAACGTGCTGCCCTCTGGTCTTCCAGTGGACTTTCTTGAGACCCTTTGCGCCTTGCAGAAACTCTTCCCTGTAGCCTAGGGGGCTGCTTGAATAAAGGAGAATGATTCCGGGAAAAGTCTGACAGATTCACAACTAGGTGATGGCACAGAATCTAGAAAGAGGCAAATATACATATGTATATCCATTTTAGCAACAACATTTTTATAACTTTTAAAACAATTTATATTCCATCTGTCAGAACTGCAAAGGATATTAATACTGAGTAATTTTTAGTAATGTTTTTACAGAACATACAGCATCTTTCTAAAAGAAATGATGTCATCTTTGAGTTATTTTTTAAACAGATTCATCATGTTATATCAACAAAACTGGAATCTGACCTTGGGGATTTCTTGTCCCAATTTTTAAGTTAATTGCAAATGATAGGTTTCTACAGAGATTCTCCTTGAGCTTCCCAAAGATGGGACCAGTTAGTCGGAGAAGGGAATCGGGAGACCAAGTTAAGAATCAGGGTATTGGGGCTCCCACCACTGGTGTAATCACGGTCCCTCAGCCTACTGGACTTCTGTGTAAGAATCTGAGTGAAGAACCGGTTCTTCTGCTTCAATTAAAACCTGCTGATCTCATCTTACCATCTTATATTACACAGGAGGAAATTGAGGTATAGAGCGATTCAGTGGCTTGCCCATGGTTGCCTGGCAAGACAGTGGCAAATCAGGCTTTGGTTTAATCTCCGGTCTGCCAGTCTCAATTACACCGCATTGGACTCTTTCCTGTATTTGATGACTACCTTATGTATAACTTGCAGATGAGAACTGAGGAATGCTCTATGAAGTGGGAATTCAGTAAAATATTACTTAATAACCTCCCCTGAATGTGATCACTTGTGTACATAACACTTAGATGATACTCCCTACCCAGCAATTACCATGATAGTTTAAAAGATTATGTTTCAAGAAAACTTTAAGGTGCTGTATAAGTTATACTTTTCAAAGGAGATTCTACTTGAAAAATATCTAGTCCTTATTTTCAGGTTTACATAAGTTGTTGCATTGCATTATGACAGCCCTGGACAAAGCCACAGGAGGTAGGATGTAATGATTTCAGAGAGCAGGGAAGACTATTCCTCATACTCCACCCCCAAGCAATTAATAAAAAGCCAACTCTGCCTGCTTAGTGAGACCCAGAATTCCATAGGAAGAATAGATCACTTGTTAAGGCTTGTATGTTTTTCATTTACATTGGAAAAAACATGTGACATCAATGACTAGCCAAGCTTCTTAGCCATGAGGACCTCAGTGTGAATCAGTCTGCTCATCCTGATTTACAGTGAAGCATCCTAGGCATAAGAAGAAAAGGGGAATCCTACCAGGTACAAAGAGTGAAAAATAGGCTGCCATGAAAAATGTTCATAGCATTTGTCTTTCTACATTTTGGGGAAAATCTATTTTCCCTTATTTTCTTACCATTACTTTCTTAGCTGTGTAATTAATACTCCTGAAAAACTAAATGTTTCCTCAAGTGGAAAGAATACTAATAAAATCATAAGAGCGGTACTTCTATCACAACAAAGCTATGGAGGGAAAATCAGGGACTGTAACAAAATACAATTTGTTTATCAGTGTCAGGTCAACCCCATTTTATAAAATGCTGTTGTAACCAATATAGCTCAAATGAATATGTTTTCAATATTAGAATACTAAATTCTTACTAACTTTGTACATAGGATCTACTCATTTCACTAAGTTTTCTTCCAATCATTATGAAATAATCATATAATTATATAAATATACCAAAGATTAGACTGACTACATGAAATACATATTGATACAATCTAGTTGATTTTAACAGAATTGGCATGAGTCAGCTGCCTGTCACAAAGTGAACACTGCACTCAAATGTTAATAAATATATATTTGAGACTAGTAAGAAACCAAAACCTGTCCCAGAAATTAAGCATCCTCTACATTATCTATTTTCTTCAAAATCTTTTCACCTTTAGACTATCCAAAAGCCAGTTATTAAAAATAAAATTGAAAATAAAGTACTCTTCTTTAAAATATTTCAATGTTCTCAACATTGTGTATAAGAAATAATTCAAGCATTAACTAAATATTCACAAAAATGGAATTTTCTTTTACTAGTGATTGTAAGTTTGATGATATTAGAGAGTATAGTATTAATTTTCTCACAATGTATTTCCCGTGTTTACTCATGCTTTTCTGTTTTAACAGATAGCTTACAAATGATTAGAAGAACTGGTTCCTTCTGAGACGCATCAGATCATTACCTGTAAAATCCAGATCTTGCTGTCTGTTTGTGAAAAAGGTATAGTAAACACCTGTCCCCATTCTTGGTCAGCATTTCACCCACAGTTTGCAGAACTCCAGGCAGGGTGCAGATGGGTGTGTTTGGGTGCAGAAGCCACATTAAGAGATTCCAGTAAGTGTCCCAGGTGGAGGGAAGGCAGAGAGAGGGCGAGGTGAGAGTGCATAAGCATGTTCTTCTTAGATAAGATTTCAGTGTGTTAATCATACATAGGAAGAAAATTTTAAAGAGGAAAACTGTGAGAAAATGCTCTATGTGAGAATATTGATTACTTCTACCACTGACAGACAGTTCAAATCGAGAAAGGAAAACACCTAGAAAATTTTGTTAAACCCATAAAAAAGCATTTGTTTATTTACGGCTGGCAAAATGGTCTCTTTCAGTTGGTGTTTTCCTTGTACTTTGATCTTTTTGTACTGATATTTAAGCTTCGGTTTTATGATCTCCTTCTAAAGCTAGAGACAGACCTCTTGGAAACCACATTAATTAGACCTGAGAGTGAAAGAAGCAAGTGCTGAATCTTAATTTCTCCCCTGAACAAGAAAAATGGGCTGTGACCGAAACTGTGGGCTCATCGCTGGCGCTGTCATCGGTGCGGTCCTGGCTGTGCTGGGAGGTATTCTAATGCCAGTTGGAGACATGCTCATTGAGAAGACAATTAAAAAGGTACAAGTTGTATCAACAATATTTCTTGTCATTCTGATTTATTCTGTCTTCCATCCCTTTTTGGTTCAGGGTGCCCGTTTTATATTTCACTCTAATCGGCAATTTTATGTCTCCAACACAAAGGTGATTATGAACCACTGAACTCTACATGATAGAGAAAGGGTCAAAGTATGATGTACATTCTGTATGAATGCACTGCCATCTTAAGCATAATTATCCAAGTTTTAATGAAAAAACTATTATAGGTATGCAGATTAGTAGGATTAATTGCTTTTAATTATGTCCATAGAGTATGCTGATACGCTTTTGAATGAGAAATGAGTGTTATTTTGTGAGGGTACGTTTATAAAAGTAGTTGCACTTTGGTTAATGTTGAAAAAGTAAAATCATATTTCACATATATAACTTCAACATAGTTGTTTAATATTGATCAGGAATAGTTGGTAAAACTGTAGAAGTTATTTTTGTTTGGTAAACTGCTCTATATAATATGTGTAATAATTTATGACTGTCTTATAAACATTTCCTCTTGATGAAGTTTTACAATTGACTTTGAGAAAATATTTTCAGAAATATGTCAAACATATCCCAGTATGTATGTTATAAGCTGACTGTAGTTATAACTAAAAAATAGGCTTTGTACAACAAGCCAGAATTTATCTCTCTTCCTAGTTCCTTCTAATCCAGCTTTCATGCTCACCAACTTTATTAGTAAGGAGTGGGAAGGCTATAAAAAAGAGAAGATCTGCTCAAGTCCTGAACCAGGGATGGTAAATTTAAATGGCTTCAGGGGTGTGGAGACAGAGTTTTTTAAAAAATTCACTATTGTGCATTTAGAAGTGTGTGTCCTGCCCAAAGGCATGTATTTTTTTTTCTTTTTTAAACATAATGCTGCCCAAATAAAACATCAGAGTGCTGGCCTCAGCCGTCAGCCTGCTTGGGATGTCGGTGACCGAGATGTTAACATCACAGTGCACAATGAGAACAAGAACAGAATCGTCAGTCATCCTGCAGTGTCTGTTCCTGCCAAGACCTTTAACTGTCTCATCCATCTCCTTCCTTAGAATTCCCAGTTTTCTTGACATTATTTTTAACATAGTTCAGTAGAGACAGACAGGCAACAGTGAGGTGAGAGTTACCTAACAGTGTGAGAGGGACTTACCTTTATTCAATACCCTTTCTGTTCTATAAACTGTGCCTCCCTTCTTCTGTGTGTATCTTCTGTGGAGAGAGAACAGGACCAGTTCTGACACAGACACTGTAACTTACCTTTCGGAAAAATCTTCAGAATTGAAAAACCACAATAATCTTTCAGTACACAGCATTTGAAGTTATTTTTTCTGATATATAATTAATGATCAGTAGCTGAGTACTGATGATCTATTTTTTCTTACTATTCAACAATATTAGTACATATAGACTGTCTGTTAGATGCCATGAGAGTGCTAGCATCTATTTAAATGTGAAATATTTATCTCATTCATAATGGCTAATCCCAAGGAAGCAAGAGTTTTGAGACATCAGAAATTTGCTTTTGTATACAGGCTAAGAGAGAATAAAATATTTACCACAAGGAATACAAATTTTAACTGGGGAAAAGCATATTGTGAAAAAAAAAATCCTGTGAAACTCCAGAATTGAATTTTAAAGTGTATAATATGGGAAATAAGTACTATTTAGGAAGAGAAATTTATCACAGTTTTCAAAAACTTCAGGAAGAAGGTGAGACCTGAGTTTGATTTTGAAGTATAAAACTTTGAATGTATATAGAGGACTGCAATAAAGGTGTCAAAGGACTGATTAATAGTATGGAGAAAGTTGTGGACATGTAACTAAATGTCATAAAGAGGGAAGGAAGAATGCAGAAAATGTGCCAAAAATATAGGGTTAACAAGAAAAATAATTAGAAGGACAACATGGTGTAAGATTTAGGAAGCTTTAAACATCAGGCAGAAGACTATTAATGTAATGATGTGATAGACAATAGTATTTGATGTATGTGTTCTGGTAGGTGTTAGATATAACAAAATGTGCATTCAGAGATTTTTTTTTTAATGGAAGTGCGGTCAGTTACAATGTGGCAATTTCTGGTGTGCAGCATAATGTCCCAGTCATGCATATATATACATATGTTCATTTTCATATTTTTTTCATTGAAGGTTATTAGATATTGAATATAGTTCCCTGTGCTATACAGAAGAAATTTGTTTTTTTATCTATTTTTATATATAGTAGCTATCATTTGCAAATCTCAAACTCCCAAATTTATCCCTTCCCATCCCCTTTCCCCAAGTAACCACAGATTGTTTACTGTGTCTGCGAGTCAGTTTCTGTTTTGTGGATGAGTTCATCAATGTCCTCTTTTTTATTTTTTTTTAAGATTCCTCATATGAGTTGTATGGCATTTTCCTTTCTTTCTGGCTTAGTCCACTTAGAAGGACAATCTCCAGGTCCATCCAAGTTGCTGCAAATGGCATTATTTTATTCTTTTTTATATCACTGTGTAGTATTCCATTGTATAAATATACCACACTTTCTTTATCCAGTCATCTGTCGATGGAGATTTAGAGATTGAAATCAAATATATTATATACTAATACACAATACTAACATACTATACACGAATATACTAAATAATTTAGTCCTACAAAGAGCTTCATATATACCAGTTCATTTAATTTCACAAATATCTATGAGTAGGTACTATTATTTATCCCATCTTACAAGCACAAGATTTTAAATCAACTTGCCTACTCATCTAGCCAAAAGGAAGAAGAGTTTCCAAACCTCAGCAATTTGAAGGCAGAGAGAAGATTTACACACTCTTGTACTCTTTAATTCTACAAAAGAAAGTGTTGGAAACTGAGGAGACCCAAAACAAGAAAACCAGGCAAAGCTATATAGGACATGAGCACTTTCAAGGAGAATTTAAGACTCTATTAGAAAGATCTTGGCACAATCTGTACATAAAAAGCACTCTGGTGTTGTGTGGTGGAGTACGTAAAACTGCTGGGTGAGTGATGCAGTCGGTTAGAGGGACCAAATAGGGAGAGAGAGGAGTAAAAATAGCAAACTGCAAGATGTCCAGTTGATGTACATTACTCATGGAAATGTATACCTTAGAATAAAAAGACAGGTTTCATAAGCGTTTTGATATGAGCATCAGTGTATATTTCAAAGACCAGAGCTCAGAGATTTGATCATTAATATAGAGATTACAGGTAAAATTGAACAGTAGATTTGCTTCCTAGGGAGTCTGAATGTAGAGACAAAAGAACAGAGGACCTGGCATACAGTAGGAGTCACATCTCTGAATCTGTGTAATTCCAGAGAGCCAACTGTCTAACCCCTGCCTCAGGAGCATTTAGGCTAATGATGTTATTTTACAAATACATTCAAGTTTTACTACTGGTCAGTTTTTGTTTACCATTGAAACTCATTGCAGATTACTTGCTTCATCTAATGGACTGTTACCAAGTTGGGAAAGTTATTACCTGTATATGTGCCATTAAAAAAAAAGGACTGAAAGTGCTAATTCAAAAAGATGAGAAAATCATCTCATGTTATCATCTAATTTTTAGAGGGCTGGGACACTTGATGCCTTCCAGTTTTAAAAGATGGTGCATCCTGATACCAGCGTCTTAAATGGCCTGATACAGTCCATACATTTTACTTTATATATATGTATATTTCTTTATTCTTTATTTCAAAGGAGTGTTTTGTAGGGACTTCATGCTTTTCATAGATTATAGCTGAAAACTTTCTTACCAGTATTTTAGACTATGATTCCTCGTAGATTTCTGTGGAGCCAGCAGGTTTATGTAATCTTGCTAGAGAGACTAAAAGTCAATGGTATGAGCTGCCATGAATGTGAAATTTAGAAATGACAAAGGACTTTAGAAAAAGGTCAAAGTTCTGCCACCATTTACAAAGGACAATTTATCACTTGATATTGTTAATGCCATTCAATAAACGTTTACTGAATATTGTCTAACATAGGCAATTTTACATATATTTTAATTTGATTTCCCTATGATATCAATGGTAGAGCACCAACAAGGGGATTAAAGATTCTTTTTTTTTCCTGTTAAAAGACTAATGTTCAGTGATACCATCTTTCAATTACACCATCGTTTTCTCCTCCCATTCTTGGATATTTTAGTAGCTTAAAAAAATGCTTTCAGATAAAATGAATTGAAACAATAATTATTTGTTTATTAAAATGATTAAATTTTAAATCAGTAGTCTATATTTACTAAAAATCTATTTGCATTAAAGAGTTTCATTAGAGTATTTCCAGATATGATAAAATAGTTTGTACATTTTCATAGTGTCTAAACTCAAAAAAATGCCTGAAGTATAGGTTGTTAAAGATGGTAGAATTGGTTTTAAATTTAATGACAATATATGAGAACATGAAACAATCTAAAACAGATTATAAATTTAAATAGCAGTATAAAAATGGATTAAACATTTATATATTTGCATATTAACTCCAATACTAAAGTCAATTAAAGTGTTTTAAGAAATAGCAGGTCAGCATGTGTAATTTTCTTCCTCCAGCCAGATTTAATATTAATATAGTTAACTATGCCAAATACAAAATCTCCCATCTTAGGTTCTTATATAAACTCTTGGTGGCTAATTTCCTGAGTTTCAGAAACATTAAATCTAATGTGTTCCACCAAATTTTATTCTGGGTTTTAATTGATGTCTTGATAATCTGAGAATAAAACCACTTTCTGAATCTCAGCACATGTCACTAATACTCTAATTCACTCTTTCTCTCAGCATGCACACAAATGCGCAAAACAGTCATGTATGAGAAAAAAAACCTTAAAACACTGGAAAATTGCTTGTAACTGGTCCTAACAGAACAAATTGTGGCCGTGAGTGGAAAGGATGAAAAGTATTTTCAGCATGTTTCTGCTTTTTAGGGAAGTTTCATGTCACTGGATACAGAATAAATTTAAAAATGATTCAGTAGCAGAAAAAGATGTGTTACAGGATTTTACATGAGTTATTGCCACATGACTGGTTTAGACAGTAATGCTATGAACCAAGTAGTTAAAGCAAACTGGAAAGTAAATGAGATAAGAATTCTCCCTCTGAAGGGTGGACAGGATTTGTATAATAATAGCCAGTATTTACTAGATGCTTGCTTTGTGCTAATGCTGTTCTAAGTGCTCGTGTTTATTAATTCTTGTAACAACATATGAGGATAAATATTTAATTACACCATATTCCACTTAGTTTGACATTCAAAAATACTAACTTTATAGTTCAACCTATTATTATTATTATTATTCCCATTTTACAGATAAGGAATCTGAGGTCCAAAGAAAGTAAATAATCTTCCCAAGTTTAAATGGTTAGCATTTGACCAAACTGGGGATTAAACTTATAGCCTCTAGTTTCATTATTAACCAGTGCACTCTAGGTTTTGAGTGAGAAGCCAGTATACTTTGTCTAATGGAGACCCGGGTAAGGAAATCTACTCATAGATTAAAATTTGCTGTATGTGATGCTGTCTCTTGGCGCTCTGTAAGATGCTTGAGAAATGGGATGATATATTTTCTACATATGTGCTCTATACACTTCACTCATTGGAGATACCAGAGACATTTTAATAGTTACACTAAATTTGCCTGTCATGTTGATGAGTACTGCTTTTCTGTAACAGCAATATTCAAGTGATCATGTGACTAGATAGAAAATATTACCATCCAAATATCTGCTTTCAAATTAATGTAGCAAAATAGAAGTTTCAAGGTAAATGGAAGTTTTAACCCAGCTGGAGACTCTGCCACGTGAGAGTCACCAGGTTGGAATCCAGCCGTTACCAGATCTGGAGAGTCTGAATGCTTAAAATCAGGGACAGCTTTTTGTCCCTGTAAACAAAAACTGACCAGATGTACACATCAGCCAAGAGAGGGGATTTTAAATTATATTACTTTTCTTTGCACATAATTTGTGCTGCAAATTTAGTGAAAGATTTGCAAAATAGGCCAGATAGTCCAAAGTCCATTTGAAATCAAACTTCAATTCACAAAGGACATAAAAACTTTTGCTCCTTTTAAAATTAAAGGAACTTATGACATATTTAGTCTTGGTTTTGAAGGAGGCCTATACGATTTTCAAGTACACATGATAGTGTTAGGAGAAATGCATTCCTATTCTGACTACTTCAGTATTTTTCTCTTTGTCTCTGGATCATGGTGTTATGGAAACTACACAAGGTTAGAGTGAAAGGCCTGATTCTCTGTTATCTACTACTAAACTGTCATACAACATTGAATCAGACATCTTTTCTGTAGGACCCACTTCTACCTCTAAAAAAAGTGGATGGGGTTAGATGACTCTAACAGGTGGTAATTCAGTGTGTTCTGTTCAACTCTTTGTGTTTCAACTTTCCCATTTAAAAAAGTATCTCCAAAGAAACAAGTAAAGCAAAGTGATTCATGGCTTTTAGAAGAAAAAGGCATGCTACACTTACAGTGTCTTTAGAGTTAGGGAGTTTTCTGCCCTGCCAAGTACATTCTATCATAGTCTCTTTTGAATTCTGTAAGCATTTATTTAAGACGTACATGGTAAATAATTGATATAGTATTAGTCTTTAAGATTCTTATACTAAGAGAGTAATCATGTGTATGTGTGTATGGTCGGTCCATGTGTATGTGTGTATGGTCGGTCCTGTGTCTTTTCCCCTCATAGTCTCTTGAAATGGGTAAATTAACATAGCTTTCAGCTTCTGTATGGATTTCAGCTTTTATACCCTGTACAGTGAGGGTAAACCCTTTACACTTAGAAGAACAGCCGTAATACTTGACCTATATGCACTTTTTCTTAATTTTGGCCTTGCTGTGGAAATAGACTTTTTAAAAGTAAGTTTCTCAAGTACAAGTGTTGGAAAGAGTCAG